AGAACGGAACTCCGTCGCATTAGCGCGAGCGAAAGGGGCGACCGCGTCACGGTAGCGGCGGCAGATCGGGCGGAATTTCCAGATCATCAAGTAGATCCTCTTGAATAGATGCATAACTTCTGTGTCGAGATGAGGTTCGAGCTGGTGATGTGCTTTCAAGTCAATGGGAGGAGGTGTCCGTGCTTAACAGACGTTTTGGTCGGAATCGATGAAGATTTTTGTCTACAGACAGACAGAGTGACAAACAGACTTAGCGTTTTATATATGGGGGGATTCTGTGTCGAGATGAGGTTCGAGCTGGTGATGTGCTTTCAAGCAATGGGAGGAGGTGTCCGTGCTTAACAGACGTTTTGGTCGGAATCGATGAAGATTTTTGTCTACAGACAGACAGAGTGACAAACAGACTTAGCGTTTTATATATGGGGGGATGGGGGGATGCACTTCCTTTCCACCTAGAATGGAATCATCGGTGGCTTCCTCCGAGCGAAAACGCTGGCGGGAGCCCCCACGGGAAACGAAATCGGCTACGAAACGCTGGGCTATGTCCCCTCCAAGAGGCTTCCCTCGCAAATCGAAATGCACTTTTCGCGCGCGAGAAGTTGACGCGTCGCGCGCCCGCTGATCTCACCGCTCCTACCTGGCAGGGGATCCGCATCGACAGTGATCGGGAGATAGCATTGGCATTCGAAGTACGTCTAAAACACAAACATCGGAAACAGCCCCCGGCACTCGTCCCGACCGGGGTCCTCGGCGGAACATCGCTCAAGTTCCTGTCAAGCATCCGGTAGGTGCTTCTGTTCTCTCAAAGCGCGCCGCTCCTTCGGTCTTGCCCCCGCTAAAGCTTGAGCTGAAGTCCAACTCTCCGAGGCGTCGCCGCGATGGATATCCTTAGCTCGATCATGATGGCGTTCGATCACGCCAAAGGAGATCGCAAGATATCCGACGTGGAAATCATCAGTTACTAGCGCGACCCGGCGCGCGTTGCTGCGCCGGTACGAGTTACGGTCACCAACTCTTGAATAACGATTTCTCAAATATTCTCATCGCAAGGGATTGTCGACTCTTATCCAATTCATTTGCTAATTGTTAGCGATGCGATTGATTTTACTGAATTGCAATACTCGACGTTGATGTGCGCTTTAAAATTTTCCGAAAGGATCGGAGAGTGAGGCACAATCCATCGATTATCGACCTCGACGTCGCGGTTGCGTATTTTGAGCGTGATCATCCTCCCTCCATCTTCGGAAGACCGTCGCCGATAAGATGGATAGCCATCATTCCCGGTGATTGTCTCGGGATGCAGACTCCTTGGGTACCTTTTTGCGCATACCCCGTCTTCCATGCATGGGGACTTATTGTTGATCGCACCGCAAGGACCATGAACCATATTTATGGTTATAACTCCGAGTAATTCCGGATCAGCATCGCGGTCTGGAATTTCCGCTGAACTTACTCGATCTATGTTATCGGGGGTGATTTTGTGGATCAACCAGATCAAGATATGCGCGTGTGGCAATCCTCTCTTCTGCCGCTCAATCGAGTACATCCAGCATCTTGGCTCCCCGAAATCGAAATGCTTGATGATAAAATCCATCAAGGATTTCAATTTCTGCTTGAAAACGCGCGCGATTATATCATGACGATCCGTAGCCGTATGTCCGGGCAGTAAGTTCATCTTGATTTCTTCCCAAGCAGGATTGCATGTAATCGTGATGAACAAATCCGGACGACCATACACACGAACGTAGGTCATCCTGCGCGTATTCATGCATATGACGTGGACTTCCCGTGAAAGTTGCCGGAAGAATGACCGGAAATCCGAGCTGATTGGGGTTAAGACTCCCATCAGAAGCTATCGCATCACGAAGATGAACGTACTCCTCTGATCGTAACTAGGTTTGATTCAAACGGATGAATAATAATCGTTCGCTTTCAATCTTCGCATACATATCAGCGACATATTGATGAAATAATTGTCTGCATCTCAATATATGATTGTCCTCATTCTGGCGGATCATCAATCGATATGAATAGTAATATATAGCACTGGACTTCTTGTCAGTCTCTTCACCCGTCCCCGGGTTTCTCATCTTATTGTTGGAATGATATACATCATCCCCTTGCCAGAAGAGAATCGGGTACTCTAAAGCAGTGGTTCCCAACCTTTTTCCTCGACGGAACCCCTAGGGGTTCCGTAGGGGTTCCGCAGGTAGACTTTGGGGTCCCGAGCAATCCGCCGCGGAACCCAGGTTGAGAAACACTGCTCTAAAGCGTCGTAGGACCGATGTGTCTCGGAGACTCTTTGAAGGTCACCATTCCTGCCATGGAGAATTATGTCACGGGACTTAAATTCTTCACCGACAATCACGATTGCTACTTCATTGATTTTGGGAGCATTGAATCGCTTTTCGTCTTCCCAAGCCGGCGTCTTGTCCGCTCTTATGACAACTACATAATCGTCAGCTGGCATGCACTCCGAAGCTATCGTGAATAGCTTCACCATCTTGTTGTGCTGATGGAAAAGCTTCTGTAAGGAAGCAACGATTTCTCTTTCTGTACCAGTGTGGATGCGACATCGTCGATCGACCTGTTCCTCGACGTTACCCATAAAATGCCGACGTTACCCATAAAGACCGACCTGTCATCCTCGGTCTCAATGGAGCGTACATGTGAAGAGCGCCGTTGGTTTTCTTCTAATCCTACCATCCTTCGCTCCAAGGATTCCCGGGACCGAGACAAAGAGTGCTGAATACGATTTTGCGTTTCGTGGCTCGTCGACTTTCGTTATCGTCGGAGACTGAGTAGTCTCGCTTGGGCATATCGCATATTCAGATAACATCGTTATCGTGATCGTCGAAAACACTGAACATCGTTATCGTCAGAGATGTCAGGACAATATTATCAGAAAAGAGGAAATAATGACAATCGCTCCGTCCTAATGAAACCTGATGCGCTAAAGACCTTCCCCGATACGACACGCTTTGAATCCCAGCGAATCAGACCTATCGTACGCGTCGTATGGGAGTTTATGCGACCATGACAGACATACATACATTTTTGTTAAAGATTCGCCGAGTAAATCCCGAGACTTCATTGCGCCCTCCTAAGAGAGCACCGTGGGCAGCCCGTGCGAAGCCGTCCCCATGGTGAGTTGCCGCATTATGGTTTTCTTCAATCGCTCGAAACCGGTGCACGAATCACGAGGGTGTCCGCGTGCATTCTCTACTTTCTGTGACGATTTTCGTTTGCGTGGGCCTCTCCCGGAATTCGCGCTTGATCCTCATGCTCTGATATCTGTCAGGTCTGGGCAGAAAAGTTGGGTACGCTTTCGAAGTTTTTGTTGAAGATTCGGCTTCTCTTGGCTCTCCACC